TTTTCCCTGGAGCTGTTTTGTTTGGCGTTTGTAGTTCTAAAAATAAAGTTAGTTTCTTTTTGACAAGTGGCTCCTGATTTGTGCCAAGCCAGACTTCGGCATGGGGTGGTATCTTATCAGCCAGTTCCTCAACCAGCTCAAGGATACTATGTACCATCGGTGGGCTAGTTCTGTACAGAAGAGATAAATGACAAAAACAACTCATATGTGTGTGTGTGTGTGTGTGTGTGTGTGTGTGTGTCTACTCACCTCTCTCCTTTAATTTTTTTCCAACAGAAAGTTAAGTTAAGCACGTGCCTTAGTCTTTAGCATGCTATCTTCATTGGTCCACACAAAGCCTTTCTCTAGAATTCATGAAGCCGTGTGTGTGTGTGTGTGTGTGTGTTTAGTTGTAAACCTCACCGTTTTCCCTCCTACATTCCAAAGCACTTTTTTTGTTGGTGTGTGTCCTGCAAAATGTATATTATGGTTTTGTGTGCACACCCAGATTCATAGTTTGCCAATTTCTGTGGTGTAAATACTCCCTCCATGGCTGATTTCAAGCTGCCAGGATGACATCACTGAATGGCGTTGCTTGCTTAGTTGGCTCTCAGGCAGTGTGGAGCTGACTCCAACTCCACGGTTGATGCTTAATTGAAGTGTTGGACTAGACTGACGACTCTGGTGCCTTGTAGACATTGCATGTTTTCATAGGTTGTGTTCTTTCACCCCATCTATTTCCACCTTACTTGGAATCTGGGACAATTCAGCTTGCTTTATAGGCAAGGGTATTGGAATAGTTAGAATAGCTGAAAGGTTTTATTAGTGGTCAGTAATCAGAATAGCATGCACGTGGAGGGTTTCCTGCTCTTAATAAAACCAGATTATATAAGACTTTGGTGGTAAGTGCACGAGAACGGGTACTTTTATAGTTCGATGTCATCACTTGGAGGTTCTGGGACAGCTGAGTGAATTGAGAGCAAACAGCTTTCTGGGGAAAGTCCTGGATGTGTGCTCCTCAGAGAGGTGTAATTCTATGGTCATTAAAATACAGCCTGGGACCTTCTTGGCTTCAAGGTGTGATGGCGAACTCAGAGGGAGCTCTGGAATGTGAGTCATTCCCTTTCCTGTGCGGAGGACTTGTTTCCATGGAGAAGGGCTCCACTTTCCTGGGGAAGTCCTAATGGGCTGGCTCTGACTGGAGGGCAAACATACATCCCAGCCGACCTTGTAGAAGATGGGGGAATGAGAAGACCCAGGGAGAAACAAACTTTTTGTAAAGGATGGATTTGGTAACGTGCACCTGCTTTTTTTTTTTTTTTGTACTGGAGAATTGAATCCAGAGGTACTTTACCACGGAGGCAAACCCCCAGTCCTTTTTATTTTTATTTTGAGTCAGAATCTCACTGAGTTGTTTAGAGCCTCACTTAGTTGCTGAGGCTGGACTCAAACTTGTGATCCTCCTGCCTCAGCCTCCTGAGAGGCTGGGATTACAGGAGTGTGCCACCAGGCCCGGTGTAAAATGTTCTTTCTTAAAGCTGTGTTCATAGAGGGGTTTGTCCTCTTCCTCTTCTTTCATCCCCCACTCTCTTCTTATGTCATTGTCCTATCATGCTAAACTGGAAGTGGTGTGTGTGTGTGTGTGTGTGTGTGTGTGTGTGTGTGTGTGTGTGACTGTGGCAAGAAGAGGTTCACCCTCTGCTGAGAGAGAGGGCTGGGACACATGGATTCCCACAAAGGAGTCCTGTGGTTTAGGAGCTCCGTCTGTGCTATCCCCAGAGCGACTAACGGAAGTCAGTGGCCATCCAAGAGGAGCTGGGTCTGTATTCTGGGCACACAAGGATAAATATGCTCAAAGAGACATGGGTCACCAGAATCGCACTTCAGCTCAAACAGAAAGCAATGTCCAAGGTCATTTCTGTGTAACTCTCTCCATCAGCAAACCACACCCTCTTCTGACAGTTTTTACCCCACCCTCGTCTCTTTCCAGACAGATGTGACCCAGGAAAACCCTTCCAGTGGGCAGCACGTGACTGTGGAGGGAAACCCTGATTCCAACTCACAATGTTAGAGCAGTTTAATGACTTTATGATTGTGAATTTTACAAAAGGAAAGACACTTCTTTATGTTGTGATTCAAGTGTTGCAAGAGATCATCTTATGACATCTCCAGAAATATTTCTGTTATGTCAGGAAAGGCAGTTGGCAATTCTGGTGAAAGTAGGTTCCTAACCTCAAATCTGGAGAACTTCTCTAATCTGAGAGTCAAGCTCTGGAGAGCCGTAGCGCTGTCCTGCTGCTGCTTCTATTATTTAACCTAAGGTAATACTTGCCGGTCATGCTAATTTGATCAGTTTATAGGAGACAGTGAAGAATCAACACTTGTGAGGTGGAAGAGATTTTAGAGTCCCTCCCTGTCATAAAGAAACCCTTGTCAACAAGAAATTGAGCCTGAGACAGTTGGGGGTCATTAGTGGCACAGCTGGGAGGGGATCAGGCCTCTGGCTTTCCAGGCTAATGAACATTTCCCGGGACTGTGCTTTGCTACATTAAATGACTGTGCTGGGTGATCATGTCACCCATCTCTGTCCCTTCTGGGTGACCTCTCTTTAAGGATGAGGCTTATTTTGCAGAAGACAGCAAGTTCCCCGCAAGGGGAGCTCTTGGGCCAATAGAGCCAGCCGTGGGTGTCAAGTCTAAACTAACATGTTGTGGACAAGTGTCGTGCATCTTAGGGAGGCTCCTGAAGGTGTCCGCACACATTTTGGTCTGTGCTTGGCAGGGAGAATCACAGAACAGACAGAGGGGAGGTTAAGTGACCTTTAGCCTGGGGACACAGGTAGCCTGCTGGAAAGGGCCACTTAGGAGACATCGTAGGCCTGGTACTTGGTTGTGGTGGATACTCTTCTGTTTCTCTCCTGGGACAGGTAATAGGTGCGGTTGGCCTCTGGGTAGGTGACCTTGCTGAGCGGGAGCCTGTAGATGGCGGGGTTGTTGGTGGTCAGGAGCAAGAAGGTGAGCGCTGAGAGGCAGAAGGGCCAGGTGCAGGGTGGTAATCCAAACTGGAAGGAGGGGAGACACAAAGAGAAGCCCGAGTTAATGAGGTGCTAGCGCCTGTTTAATCAGCCCTCACCAATGGCCTTTGGTCCTGGGTGGAGGAAGGGGTCCCCGTGGGGCACTGATGAGGGCGTGCTTAATGGAAAGCCAATATAAATAAAATCATGACCATGGCACTAGCCTCCTCATAGCAGGGAGCACTCTCTCCTGCAATGCAGCCCTGGAACTCTAGTGGGGTTACCATGCCTCTGGGTGGAAGGTGTGCTTTGTCTTGGGGAGTCTGGCTGGGCCACTCTCCAGCTCTATGAACCGCGACAGTTCTGTGTCTCCTCCCACCAGCTGTTATGGAAGGATTGCCTTTGGCAGACATTTAGAAGTTCAAGACCTTTGTCTTTGGTCACAACTCACTGGACTTGAGATGGGCACCCCACTCAAACACCACTTCCCGTAGGCAGGTGGCTTGGGCTAATGGATCTTTTTTTTTCTTGGGTATTGGGGATTGAACTCAGGGGCACTCGACCACTGAGCCCCATCCCCAGCCCTATTTCGTATTTTATTTAGAGACAGGGTCTCCCTGAGTTGCTTAGCGCCTCGCTTTTGCTGAGGCTGGCTTTGAACTTGCGTGGATTCTTTACTTCTGAGAACATGAACTGAAAGGTACAGGGATAGTGTCCATAGGTCTTATATGAACTGGAGGGACTGGAGAACTGCACAGTGACAGGTGGCCATTGAGAAGCTTCGTGCCACAGAGAAACCCTTCCCAGACAGACGCAACACAGTGGAGTGGAGTGGAGGAATGATAGCCTTGTCCCTGGGAGCTGGAGACAAGAGCAGCTGCCTCTCCTCTCAAGGACTCTTCCATCCCCACATCCCTTCCTCGTGATGGTGACAGGTTTTTCATTCCCTGAGGTGCCCTGAGGCTTTTGGATGCGTTTCCTCAGTCTTTTGAGATAGCTTGAGTGCATCGCTTACAAACAGAGAGCCTATACATTCAACTCTGAAGCAGATCAAATTATGTCCCCTCTTCCCCAAATATCATGTTATTATAACATGATAGAAGAACCTCAGGTAGAACCATGGGAGTGACAACACCAATTACACATATGTGTCAAGATGGCACCATTGGATGGGCGTTGGGGGAAGAACAAGAACAGAACAGAAAAGAGGCTTCAGGGATACCCTGAGTGATACATGCTCCTCCATGAGTCTTTCCAAAGCACAAGGTGCACAAGGTGTTCTGGAATGCATCCCTTGGAGTCCCATGGTGGAAAGGACATTGAGCTCCACATACTCAGATCCAAATCTCAGCTCTGATCACCTTGTGATAATCATTTAATCTTTTTGAGACCTATTTCCTCAATACTGAACCAGAGATCATAATACCTACTTGGAGAGATGGTGCTTATTGCATAGTAAATGCTCAATAAATGGTCCTCAGGACATAGTCATTATCATCAAGCAGATGGCAGGATTGTTGAAGACCCGAGGCTGCATATACATGTGCCCATTAGAAAGCAAAGGAGTGTGGCTCATAAGGGCTCTTCTGAGGAGGGTTGAATGGTCTCATAAATGTCATTCAACATTTTAATACCCTGTTCTTCAACAAGATTGGAAATGATTTCTGGGTAAGTTAATAGCCTGCATGCTTTGGTATCCCTGTCCGTGGTCAGCACAGTGTCTTAAACACAGGAGGCACCCAGGACATCAGCTTGTTTTCATTTTGAAAAATGTCTAAATTGAGCGCTGTAATCTATAACTCCTCTGCCCACAGAGGTGAAGGCTGATCACCACTGGAAATACTGGTGACCAGGAACCATAGCTTCCTGCTTTGCATCTCTTCTGGTCCCTTGTCCAAGGAAGGCA